TGACATAGGATAAGCATTTATGAAAATCATGTTGAATAAATCAATAATTTAAAATAACTACAAACATAGTAAACTATAAAGAAATTCTACACATGGAAAAAAGCAGGCTCTATCTTTCATCTCAACAGGGTTCCTTGCTGTGAAGTGTATCCTTCCAAACATTTCTCCATCCATGTGTATGCATACATAGATACTGCTATACTTTATCTACAAAACTAGGCTAATATATAATATTAATTCCTACCTGAATGTGAATATCTCCTTTCTGTCAACTAGAAATTCATACTTTTTCATCTTTGCCAATTTAAGAATACCATTTCATTACTCTTTAATTAACATTTACTTCAACTTTATTAAAGAACATTTTTTTCCTAAGGTTTATTAGTCAGATTTATGTCTTCTTTTGTGGCTCACATATTCAAAGCCTTTAGCAATTTTGTTTCTGATGCATTCATATAGTTTTAACTACTAAGAGTTTTTTACATACAAATAATATTAGTCCTTCATCTGAACCATTGTATGTTGCAGATGTTTTCTAGTTTATCATTTGCCCTTGCATTTTGGAATTGTTATACAGAAACTCTGACTTTTTTTCTGTTGTCAAATCTATTATTTCTTGTTATGCAGCTGCTTTGTTTTTTTATAATCAGAGAAGACTTTCCTAGTTTTAATTATTTTCTTCAAATAATTTTATGGTTTTAATATTTTACATTTGATTTTTAATCTGCCTGTAATTTACTTTAAAGTAAAACATGAAATGAGAATCTAATTTTATATTTTCCCAAAGCATTTACAGCATTTACCAACATTTACCAACTCAACTGAAATGCTAATTTACCCAAATTCTAAGTAATAATACATAGCTGGGTTTATTTCTAGGCATTTTCTTTAGTTTGGTGCCAATAAAACATAGCTTTACTCATATAAAAGAAATTTTTTTTAACTGCTAATGTTTGGCTATTTTCAAGTGTTCACTTTCCCAAAAAATTTTTAGAATGAGTCAGATTCTATCTAATGCATATAATTGGCTTATGATTAACAGATTAGATTTGAGATTGTTAAAATAGTGAATCTTCCAATTTATGTCATGCATCACCATTTATTCTAAACTCCTTTCATTCCTTTGAATAGTGTTTTATAGTTTTGCTTTTTATAGGTTCTGTAATTTTTCTTAAGTTTACATCTAGGTATTTTAAATTGAAATTTTAAATAGGATTTTACATTATCAAACTTTTACCGTTCATACATTTAAAAAGCTATTTATTTGTGCATTAATTGAAGGCAACTAATAATTTTTTCAGATAATTCTCTAGTTTTATAAGACAAAATGCATATTATATAACCTACAAAAAAGATAGTTTGGACTCCTTCTAATAGTTAAATCTAATGCACTTTTCTTGCCTGAATATACTGGCTAAAACTTTAATAACCAAATTTAATGATCATCATAGTAACAATAATTTTAATGTCATTTTTATAAAATAGAAAACTGTTGGACTTGTAAGGGCTCATTAGTATTTATTTTGAATTATTATTTAAAGCAATAATTCTCAACTGCTGGATGTTTATACCATCCGACTAAGAAACATTAATTTTTAAAAAGTATCCTTGTAATCTTAATTTACTGTTTATTCCAGAATGTTTGCTGAATTTTTCTTCTAATAAATTACTGGATTGGTTTTGGATTTTTGCATTCTATTTGAATGTTGTCTCAGTTATTCTTTTCTTGAGTTATTTTTAGTAGCTGTTTTAAAATATGGTATCAAAATATTTGATAACTTTATGTCTTTCACTATTATTGAGTCAGTTCTGTTCTTCTCTGGCCAATTATGATAACTTATGCTTCTATATATAATTCATTTTATTCAAAAAGTTCAAAGTGACACTGTATAGATATACATAGATTTTTATATTATAATTTAAATACCTACTCTTCTTATTATATTTTGACATCTCATTTCTGATTTTATACATACGTATTATTTTGTTAATTAAAATTATTAGAGATTAAACCACTATTTCATAAAAACAAAGTTCATCTCTACTAATTTTCTACTTTCTATTTCACCAATTTTGGCCTTTATCTTGCATCAATTGATTTCATTAGACTCATGGGTTATTTTGTTTCTAGTTTCACATATTGACAACTCAGCTTGTTTATTCTTTTTTTAAATTTAATCATGCAGATGTTAATATGATGGCATGCTTGATAATATCTCATATGCTGTGCTCTCATTATTGTTATTTTCCAGTTATTCTTTTGGTAAAGTTTTGGTGTCCTCTTTAATATAAAAGTTATTTAGAAAAAGGTTTATGTTTTTTCCTATAAGAAATTGAATTTTCTGGTTTATATATTGTTTTAACCTCTATGCTTATTATATTGTAATTATATCCGATTATTAAAATGTATTAATATTTTAATTATGAATATATGTTCTAGGATAAAGGAATTTGGTTATAAATTAAATTGCTTTGCTTTTTTATATAATTCATGTTAATATTTTCCTTATTTTTTAACCTAATTAAACAATTAGAAACTGAAAAACTTATGTAAATGTCTTAGGTTATGACTTTTGTCTTTATTTCTCTTTTTATTTCTTAGAGATTTGCTAACTATATGTCTATATTTTGTTGTTATCTAGTGTAAAACTTTTCAGATTCTTAAGGTCTCACTTGGAGACTGCAGTCTTTGTTAGTGTAAAGTGTAATTATTTGACCAATTTGATACACTTACTGTAATTTTTACCTTTTTCATTAATAATTTTGAAGTTCTGTTTGTTTTTAAATGCCAGCGATTCGTTTTATCCCATATTTAACTGCAAATTTCTTATGAATTGGTTTTAAATTTCCTCTGGTAAAAACGTTATAATTACATTTTGATTTTTAACCCAACATTTTTTCTATGTAGTGTCATTTTTAACAAACTTTTTGTTTCTATAATTGGCAGAGTTACTCCTACTTTATTATTTCCAGTTATTTTTATGCACCTTTTGTTGTTTTTTAAAATTCTTTTCCTATTTCATTTTTTTCTGTCCTTATTTTCCTATTTATTTTATAATTTTTTTCATTTTTTCTTCTGCCCTCTGGTAATTTATAAGGAGTATAGCCTATTTTAAATTCCAATAAAACAAATTAATTCATATTTACTTCCTATGGCTATAGTTCCAGATTTTTATCTGAGAATTTTGAACTGATCATTAGTTTATGTGTCATATTTGCTAGGCTATAATACCCAGTTATTCAATCAGACACTAATCTAGGTGCTACTGTGAAGGTATTTTGTAGTTGTGGTTAACACAGTTGACTGGCCTCTGTAATGTGGATGGGCTTCATCAGTAAGTTGGAAAGGCTTTAAAGAAAAACTCGGGTTTCCTAGGGAAAGAAGAAATTCTGCCTCAAGACTGCAGCATCAATTCCTCAGAACTTTACTACTTGCTAGCCTGCCCTACAGATCTCAAACTTTCCAGCTCCCATAATTGTATACGCCTATTTCCTGAAGAAATCTCTTTATATCTGTTATACATATTAATATTTACTATGTATTATATAATATTATATTTATACATAATCAGTAGGATACACACAAAACCTACTTGCTATGTATATTTTATATAAACCAAACCCTAACTAATACATTAACTTTTCAAGTTTTATGTAGTTTCTTTTACAAGAACAATTATTAGTAATACTATCATCTTTAACTTATTTCAGTGGTTAAATTAGTCCTTTATATGATTCTTGAATTTCGTTCTTATTCCTGAATTTTAAATTGAGTTTAATCTCTTTATTAAAATATTTTGAGGGGAAACACCTCTTATCAACAGGGTGCCTGAATGAAACGTATTTGTATACCTAACCC